TGTTAGATGAGTGCTATTTCTGGAGAAATGTTGAAGCAAAAAATGGGATTCTTTAGAAAATAGTAGGGGCACTAACTGCTAGAAACTTTCTAATTCCAAAATTCTTTCATTGAAGAAGAATCAATGTGTTTTTTGATGCATTGGATGATTAGAGTCTCCACATATCTTGTCACATGTTACAGTAATTAAATCGGAGAGCCATAGACAATGAAGTGACAGCTGAGGAAGATTGTGTCTTCTGCTACAAAAGTCACTTTTAGAATTAGTGTAGCTCAAACAGTCATCCACAAAATTTTGGTATGTTTTCTTCTCTTCATGAGCATGTTGTATGAAAATGTGCTTTTTAATCCTTGTCTGAGTTATTGTAACATGTTATTTAAAAACCATACAGACTACTTTCAATGTTAGCAACAGATTATAGAATAATTTTGCCAATTGTACACTCCCTAATGAGGTTGTGAGACCTGGAAATGGGGGAGGAAATGACATTTTATCTCAGAATTGTTAATTACAGATTTTTTCAATTACAGAATATTTGCTAAATCCTCACTGAGAAAGAGTAAACACCAAGTGTCTGGAGCAGAAGCTTATTTTAAAGAACCCAATGCCATGTTCATAAAATATTTTAGTTATTCTAGAACTCTGAGATGCTTGCACATCAACTAGACTAAGAAATGAACAGTTGTTTACTCATTCAAACATATTTGTCTGATATGCAAGTTTTCATAGATAGAAAGTAGGCAGGCGTTAATCAAAATTGCTTAGAGTTGCAAGAAACTTCACAGAAGTGTAAATTATTGCTGCTGCCGCCTGTCACTTTCATTCCTTCCAAACAGGTATGTGTAGAAACAGATGTCAAAATAAAATTTAAATTCCTCTGATAAATCTAGACCAAGCTGAAGTAAATAAAATAGCTACTAAAATTTAAATTCCTCTGATAAATCTAGACCAAGTTGAAGTAAATAAAATAGCTACCGCTGTTTATTATTGAAATTGCTAGCTGGGAAATTGCCCATAATTGCTTGGAATTGCTGCAAATGAGTTTGAAATTATACAAGTGAAGTAGGAGGTAACTGAACTAGAGGTTCAACTGGAGAAAGAGAGAGACAATTACTTCCATCTGGATCTGTGCTAGAGTCAACCGCCGACTGGCCACAATGGAGGGATTCCAACTCGGATATAGCTTTGGTGGACACCACTGGAAACTGGTATTCCCCCATATACAACTACAAGTTCCATCAGCTGGTAACTGTCCTACAGTTTGGTCTCCCAATCAGATAAGTAATTGATCATCCTGGAGCACAGGATGGATCCTCACCATTTTACAATAATGCCTCCATATAGATGTTTCCAAGTTTGCTGTGGATTTGCACTATCTTACGTTAAAAGGACCAGCCACAGTGAAATCACTTCCCCAGGAAATAAGGACAACTGGTATGCCTATGGGTGCTTGTTTCTGCATAGATTTGTATTTATATATGGAGATTTGTAGCTCAGTCTCCAAACAGTCCCTCTTTCTCCACTGTAATTTAAATTCTTGGGTCCTTATTGGAGAATGGCTTATCTTGATGGCAGCATGGACCAGATTCAGAGCTTGCAAGTCCTGCTGATGGAAAGTCTTCTCAGTGCCAGCTACCTGATGGGCACAAAATCATACAGTTCACCATAATTTAAAAAAAAAAAAAAAAGGGATTTTCTGTGGACATTTTTACTGATGCTCAAGACAAATGGCTTCACAAATTTGATTTAAGATTTAAGCATAGCTACAGAGAGTGAACATAAAGTAATTGTGAAATCAATCAAACCACATTTATTGCCTAGAAATACTTTCTGAAAATATTCTGTGGCATTCATCCATTAAATACTTCTGAAGCTTGAAAGGAGCTGTGATGGGAAGAGTGAAGTGCAAGAGATTAACAATCATTTCAAAGTGAGATTAGAAAAAATAATCAAGATACCTCATGTCCTTTGCATCGAAAAAAAAAAAAAAGATTATTCATATTTTCTTCATTTTCAGCAAATGTCATTGATGACGGCTGTCCAGAGAAGATCTCTCTACAGGTCTTCCAAACCCGTCTGGCTGCCACCCTGTGCCCCGTGCTCTGGATGTCCCTGCGGGAGCAGGGGGTTGGACTGGGTGATCTCTAGAGGTCCCTTCCATCCTCAACCATTCTGGGATTCTGTGTCATTATTTTAATTCTATTCAGCTACTGTTTCCTAGTTCCTCTGCAGACAACATGGAAGTCTACAGTCAGGAAAATAGTATTTGTAGCAGTAAAGACTAAACTCCGTTTGACTGATATTGGTTCCTACTTTACTATATAAAACTTTACCACATGAAAACTGGAACTTTACCATATAACTGAAGCTATTTCTGTTGAGTGTGTATGCCAGGGGGTGACTGTAATTTTCATTGCATTCTCATCTGTCATAAGTCTATGTCATCTTGTAACAGAACAACAAGATTTTGTTTCTCAATGATCTAGCTGTGTACCATAATTCCAATTTGGATACCAGTTGGATGACTAGCAAAATCTAAAATAACAGTTTTTTCCGTCATCTTTCCTTTATTTATTTTTTATTCCTACATTTGCTCATACTTTACACCTTATGTCAATTATACTTTAAGATGTCATTATGTTTTTCTTCTGTCATCACTTAAAGACTTGTTTTATAATGGTTTGAAGGTGGTATCCCCCCAGACATTTCATCAATAGACCTTAAGCATGAAATATGAATGCAAGCATTTACAGTACCGAGGACTGATAGGATACATGTTTACATGAGTGCAACGTGTCTTTAAATTGTTGTCATTTGCTAAGTGTCCTTCAAGGACATAATGCTACAAAAACGACATACAGTATTAGTGAGGAATCTCATACTCAGTTATTCTTGAAAGACATTAAAATAAAATAATGGAAAACAGCTCCTCTCTTTTTCTGCCTGTTTTTTACCCTTTCATTTGACAAACACTGAGGCTTCTTTTAATAGTGCCTGAGGTTTCCATAGTTTCTTTCCTTTCTTCCTGCTTTTGTGCAATAAATCAATATTATAGTAATGTCTATAACAGCCAAGGAAACCGTGTGTTGAGAAGCAGAGAAAAATAGTGGTCTTACCTTTTGTCATGACCTGGAGGATTCAGTTGCAAGCTGCATTGAAATGCTGGCAATGGAAGTTTAAAGCAATGAAAATTTGCTCAAAATGTTATTTCAGTTGCATAATAAAAATAAACTGGAGATAGTAATTTRGAAGATGGAACAACTGTTGTTTTTGCAGGAGCAAACCCTTCATGCTCACAAATATGCTGTTTTTCAGATTTCACCTGAGACAGGGTGCCTCCCTGACTGCCCATATCAGAGTGCAAGTAGAGATGAAATTTTAGTGTGCTTTGAACCCTGAGGTCTGTTCTGCTGCCTGGAATCCACAAGAGATTTATATAAAGATCAACACTGAATGCAGGGTATTCAGCCTTGGTCGTTTATTGGTTTCATGTAGTACATTTGTAGATACAGAGTTCTGTTTCTCATACTGAACTCTTAGGTTTGTCAAAATGGGACAGAAGGATTAGAAGGATTAGCTTAGAAGGATTCACATTTTTTTTAATTAAGATTGTTAGGCTATGTGATTAATGGCCAACCACCATAAACCCAAAGGCCCATGAGGCTAAGAAGACCTGTGAGAGGAGGGCACCTGCACTAACCGACTGTGTGGAGATGGACACCACTGTCTCAGCTGCTTCCCCAGTTCATCCTCTGGGAATGAGCCAGCTGCTGGCCCTGCTGGGAAACCTACCAAAAAGCAAGGACAGTCTCTCCCCAGAAAGCCATGAAAATAAACAAATTATTGCCTTGAAAAGTACAGGGTTTACTATGGAATGCASAGGGAAGAGAAATTGGGTATTGTATAAAACTACTAATTAGTGACAGCACCAGGGAAAAGCCCCTGGACCCTGAAGCCTACTGAATCCTGCAACCTCTAGCAAAATTCAACAGCCCAAATGTGCATATATTTATGAATATTTATTATGTATTATATTTTTCATCAATTTCATATTGAAATACATGAAATATCTGCAACAAACAAATTTAGCAAGCTCCTTAATAAAAATCAGTGTTGGTGAGCATCATATTTCATTTGACATGTTAATCTACAGTAATCTGTGAAAACTATATTTAAGAATAACATTGACAGTAGTTTTAAAATTAATTATTTATATATTTGAACATAACACCCATGATTGCCTATTTATAATTTTGATTTGGGGTCTGTGCAAGAGTTAAAAGATCTTTGTTATATTTTCATGTACATTTAAACTACAAGAAAGATGGAAGCTGACTCTATGGTTACAAACTGTATATTCTGTTTGTAGCTCACTGTCAGAATCAGGTAGATTATACTTTCCAGGTCTACAAGAAAAATGTTTAATGTTTCAAGTCACCTATCATGCCTTGTAAAACCAAAGTGTACTCCTCCCTGATGTGCCTGTTAGAGGGAAAAATTCATCCTCTATTCTGGGTTTATTTTTTTAAAGTGAGTGAATTCACAGGTATACAAGATAGATACTACACACAAAACAAGGGTACTGAGTTTGTGAAATGTCCACTCTCTTGATAATATATAGTTATTATCTCTATTTGCCAAGATACTTTTTCCGCTTAGAGATGAATCTTGCTTTAAATTTTCTAACAAATGGACTTTGTTAAATACCTTCCTTTTGCTGTCTTTAACTCTAAGCCTTTCAACATCTGAAGGTGTTTTTAAAAGACAGGAAATATATTCGTTGTATGTTTTTAACACATCACAATCCTGTTTTCTGTTACAGGATTTTTGCAACTTGAAGRGCATTTACATAACACCTCTGTCTTGTTCACAGTTATGTCATTTTATAACTCAAGTGTGTGATTACCCCTTTTTTTGTGTGACAAATTTTAATACTTTTGAGAGTGAAAGCTAAAAAAAGAAATTTGCCTAAGTTTGTATAAATTTTTCTCTGTTTGCAGTTACTTTGACTCACGATTTAAGCACTATCCCTTGGTTAGAAGTAAAGAAATTGCCAGCATTTCTCCAACTGTATGGTGCTCTTGAACTCTGATCCTAGCACCAGGAAAACCCACTGTTGTAGACATATGTCTTTATTCCTAAGCAAGTATTTGCAAAGATTTACTGGTCAAGTGTAGACTGTTTCAGTGGACCAAATAACTGGAATTGCATAATAATGAATATCAAAAGGAAACACTTTTTCATTCGTTAACATTGTAAATATTAAGCAATCCTCCAATCATTCGTGAAACATTCAGATAAATATAAAACAATTTGCACAATTTTTGCGAATAGAATGAATAAAGAAACTAATGATATGATCCAAATAAATGTACTTTAGGATTCAAATGATATTTTTATTCCTTTTTGTATAATTGCTTAGCTGTAATACTAAATTGTATCAAGGAGCAAATAAACATATTAAGTAAAAAACTTTTCTTTAGGCAAGTTGAATTTCACTGAAATTTTCTATTGGGAATCATTTGATTTCTATAGAAATTTATGCAAGAAAAATCCAAAAGACATATTATATGCATAAATCTTTGTTTCCATCTTAAATATTTCAGGTTCCAAGGCTCGTAATCCAACTCCTGCCTTTATTCTGATTTCCTTTTTAGGCCCATGACATGTTCTGCCCTCCCTCACCAAGATGTACTATGGAGGCAAGACCACAGGTGTCTTGAGACCCCAGTGCACTGGGAAGGATGTGTTGAAGGAGGAGAATAAGGAGTCTGAGCTCCTGAGCATCGATTTCTAGAAGGCAATGGGCTGAGTCTAGAGGACACAAAGATGTTTCCTAAAACAGAAAATGTAAAAAGGTAGATGTTTTGATATTTCATTTTTGAAACAATCAGACTTTTACTCCACTAAAATTTTCCATATTTTAATTTTCATCCTTGTGACAGAAAATTGAATAAAAATATATAGACATGTCCCACACGATGGCAATCTGGGAATGAAAGGGCTAACCTATTGCAGTGATGTCTTTGTTGGAATACTGAAGATATTTGCTAGAAATATGACTTCTGAGACCTAGAGAAAATCATAAAAGCAAACTGAATGAGAAATAGCTTTACTCTTTCTCTTGTKTCCTATTCCCTTTATTTCTTCCAAGTGTGGACAAGCATATAAAGAAATGGAAATATAAAGCTAGCGTTGGCAGCTGTACCTGGACCTTACCCTAGAAAAATCAAGCAATTACTGAAAAGAATGGAAAAGAAGTAAMGCTCATGTTGTGGCAATGGAAGCATGTGTGCCAAAGAGATCTATGCACAGGTGTAAGTGGAGTCACTGGGTTGGGGCTGCAGGCAGCTCCTGTGTGAACAAGGTAGGACATGGGACATCGGAGACAAGGCACRACTATAATGGCATATTACCTAGGCAGCATAGGCAGTACAACATATGGAGGAAAGGGGATCCAGCTCCCTTTATTTTATTTATTTATTTTTTTATTTTTGAAATAACTATGGATTGATTGTAAACTATTTTCTTCAGGTGCGGTCTAGGCATCATTTCTCAATTATCTTAACCATATGGGAAGTTCAATGCATCTGTGTTATTCTACTGCTTAGCTCATCTAGGGTAAGAATAAAGATGCTAAATTTCTTAATGGGCTCAGATTCATACAGCTCTCAAAAGAATATTAATAGTGCTTAGGAAAGGATATATTTTACTTCTTACACATAAATGTGAATTAATTCCTACTCCAGTGAAAAAACAGCACTGAATTTAGTAAATCCATAAAACTTACCAATGGAGTCACCATGTTACTTCCACAGTAATCTGAGGTTGATGGTTAACAGCTACAATATATTCTAGAAAAAAAGTGAAGATTAAAAAGTCCAGATTCTTTCACTATGCAAATCAAAAGCATTTTCCTCTGGAATCTACATATAAACTGTCTCATTCTATTATGTCTGCTTTTTTTTTCACTTTGTTCTCTCACTTGTACCTTGTAATCATTTTGCATAATAAAACTACAGAAACTCTACATTGCTCATAAGTCAGGATATAGGACTGATTTTTAGCATTATCCTGTTCTCTTCGCAACAAGGCACTGTGACAGGTATGCAAATCATGAAAAGATTGCTAAGAGAAGATAGTTTCATTCCTCTGAAACTCAGATCAAGAATCAGATTGGGTGACCCTAATACTTCTTTTTTTTATTTTTTTTTTCTTTTTCCTATGTAAATGGTGTTATGGAACAGGTGCAGCTTTTGATTTCAAGACTGTGTGTCCTCATATGTGTTGTATGGACAAAGAACTTAAATACCTTGATTTTAACATTTGCTGGTTATGCTCAAAGTTGATTCAGGAGTTGCGGAGGTAGACCCACCATTTAGAAGGTCCTAGCCCTACCCATCCATGAGGGACCCTGAGGTTTGACAGATACATGTCTGCTGCGAGAGCTGAGTCCCAACTCTTGCACCACTTTGATTCAAGACAGTTAATTAATTTTACTTTATTTACTAGAGGAACTTAACATTAAGGTAACATCTAGCCACTTTGATACTTGCAGTGGTCCTCAAAGGGCTGTTTTGATTGAACTGATTACTACTGCTAGGGGCTTCCTACTCCATACTGAGTCTGAACTCGCATCTAGCCATTAGTCAATTGTTTTAAATTGTTTTTTTTTCATATCTGAAGAACACAAGCTTACATATACCATGAAAAAGTCACATTTCTCCTCACTAACTACTCTACTTAAGACTAATCATAGTAGCTATTATCATGATTCAAAAACACAAAAATAGTAAGTGTTTAGCGGAAAGCCAAACACAGACACTTACATAAATGTGCAAACTAAGTGAAATAAGGAAAGGAAAAAAATATTCTGTGCCAATCCCATGAATATTCAATTACATTACAATATGTTCCCTGCCACAGCCACTGCCCTCTTTGGGTATTTTCACTATGGTGTCCATCCTGCTCCACTGCCACAGCCTTGGAGCCTGCACAAACTCTCACCTGCTTTGGGAGGACTGACACTAACACTGCTCTGCTCTTGCTTCCCTCTGCATGGGCAAGGGAAGACTTCTCTCAGTACCTGACCTCAGTAGTGTCACAGAATCACACAGAATCACAGAATATTCAAGGTTGGAAGGGACCTCTAGAGATCATCTAGTCCAACCTTCCTGCTCAAGCAGGCACACCTACAGCATGTGGCACAGGGTGGCATCCAGGCAGGTTTTGAAGACCTCCAGAGTAGGAGACTCCACAACCTCCCTGGGCAGCCTGTTCCAGGGCTCTGTCACCCTAACAGTAAAGAAGTTGCTCCTCACCTGGAGACGGAACTTCCTGTGCTCCAGCTTGTGGCCATTACCCCTCGTCCTATCGCTGGCCCCCAATGAAAACAGCCTATCCCCTTCCTCCCTGCATTCTCCCTTCCTGAACTTATACATGTTAATCAGATCCCCTCTGAGCCTTCTCTTCTCCAGAGAAAACAGGCCCAGTTTACTCAGTCTCTCCTCGTACGGGAGATGTTCCATTCCCTTAATCATCCTGGTTGCTCTTCTCTGGACCCTCTCGAGAAGCTCCATATCCCCCTTATACTGGGGAGCCCAGAACTGCACACAGTACTCCTGTCYTGTGAGTTGAAGCAAAGCGGTTTTGGTTGCTGGAAGGTTTTGCATGCCTCTGCCCTTTCTGTCTCCAGCAACAGCTACAGGTCTCATTAGCACAGTTTGCCTATTTTTGTCTTTATATGACATAAAATCACAAAGTACTCTAAATAGAGACTGCACCAGCCACAAACTGTGGTGCAGCAAGCAAAACAACAAGCAAAGCATTCTTCATATGCCTTCTGTGGAAGCTTTTTTAGCTTGCATTGCTCATTGGATATAGGCATGAACACCAATGGAGTCTTTGACATAAGTGACTTTTAGTTACCTTTAACTAGTATCTTTTAGTAAGTTTCCTGACATTAGTAGAAGACCATAGTTACCAATTGAAGTTACCAATTTCAGACTTACAAAGGATAAATTGAAACTCAGAAAAGAAATCTCTGATGTCTGTTGTCATTTGATTTATCATATGCTGATGTTGCTCAACACCTAAACATTTGTTTAGAGGGGCTTTCTTTTTTTCTGACTCAACTTTTGGCAAATACATGCCCAAAGAATACTGCATCTTGCCACACTCAGCATTCACTGTAGACCACGGCCCTGAAAAGATGCGTGCAGCTCTTCAGTAATCACAGCTCTTAGTTATTAGGTTGCATTTGTGACTCTTGTAAATTTTGGAGAAGGTTTATGGTCTTTTTGAGGGCAGTTTGCCTTCTTGGCAATCTGGCTGCCGTGTGAATTTGATTCCTGTGAACCTAACTGTGAGTCTCAGTGGGGCAGAAGGACTGTCGAACAAGTAGGAAAATAATGGAAATGGGACAGGGCCAAATAGGTGGAATTTAAAGAAGATCTGGTGTGTCTTGTTGATTCAGTCTGCAATAATTCAAATTGCTTCTGCTAAGCAGAGATGACCCCTTCCAAATCATCAAGAGAATGTCTATTTTCTTGTCATCAGGATCTGATCCATAACCCACAGCCAGTGCTTTGTAAAATAATAAAACAACAGTGGCAAYATATCTTTTGTGCAATGAAAAATACTGGTATTGACCAGTGCTGTAACTTATCATACTTGTTGTGCTTCTGGCATTTGCTCATTGATGTGCTCAGTTGGCAAAATCAGAATATTGATCCGTCATTATTATGGGAAGAGAAGAACATCCAATTGGCATAAAATGTAGCACATTCTTGCATGGAAAGCCCCAGAAAACAGAAAGAACACATAGAATGAAATAACTTATGCCTCATAAATACTTAGGAAGAAGAAGTTCCTTTGCATTTTTTTCTTAATCATAAAAAAATCACTCAAACATAGTAACAGACCAAATAAGTAGGACTAAATTTTAAAAAATTCCAGTTCCTTGTATGCATATACTGATTTGTTTTCCTTTTTTTTTMWCCTTTCCTTTTTTTTTTCTCCTTTACRTCTTTTGGTATTTTCTATTTTTAGGGTTTATCACATCTAGTAACAGTATAAATCCTGTGAGATATTTTTTTCCTGCATACAGAAAATTTATCCTATTTGTAACAGACTTTGATGAAAATGGCATTTTCCTTAATGTTCAATGCACAGTTACCTTTTTTAGTTTTTAATTTCATAAAAATCCATATCTCATGCACTGCCTCTGTTTTCTGCACTCTTTTATGATTCAGTTACTCCATTATTTTAGTTTGTGTTTTCTGTCCTGGCCAGTAGTTCTGCAATTTTTCCATCATAATGCAGAAACAACTGTTACTAGAGAAAAGGACCAGTAGCTTTCCGCACAGAGAACCTACTATAGAAGATATGTTAAAAAAAAAGAAAAAAAAAAGAACGGATTGGGACTTTATGCACAATATACAAGCTGGAACATTACTCTTGGCTAAGTGCCACTGATGATCATTTCATTGATGTGATTGATATGTTCGTTGGTAGCTTCTCACACTGCATCCAGATGGTTGCAACAATTAACGTTGTGCTAAGAATATACCCCAGAGTTATATGATTTATCAAGAATACACAGGCAGCGCCGGCATTCTCTGTGGGGTAAATACAGGCATATTACTGAATTCAAACCAAAACCCTCAAGGAAAGCTTAACACTGAGTGCTCTCTTATTTTGCTTATTTTTGCTTTTTTGAAGATGAGAATGAAATCTGCAGTCTGATCCTCTTGTGCCCCTCTCTTTTTTTTTAATTGCCTCTCCTAACTATTGCCT